GGCTTCGGCAGCAATTCGGCGACGGGGGACGCCGAAGCCGCGGGACCAGCAGAACTCCCGCAGGCATGCCGCCGAAGGCTGCCTGACTTACGTGCTTGGGGTGGAAAAATACATAGAGCCGCCCCTGGCCCTGATCCTCCTACATCAATGGGCCAGATGGGGGAAGGGACAGTGCCTCAAAGGCAGCTGAGCTCCCTTCCATGTGTGGAGGCCCCTCTACACATGTATCAATGGGGTTATGGTCTGGCACCAAGATTTTAGGAGGCACTGCTCCTTGGCAGCTAGGCCACTTTTTTTCTCCCTTCCACCAACTAGCACACCCACACTGCTCAGTATCAAATAGCCCTCTGATCCCTCTTATTTAGGGTGACCTTATGTCCTGTTTTGGCCAGGACAATCCCCTTTTAAAGCCCTGTCTCAAACATCTTGATTTTGTTTTGACGACACTGATCGTCATGTGGCAAAAGCAAATGGGACAAATGCCCAGTTTTGTGCGCAAAAAAAAAAAAGTGGGGCGTGGTCCCCCGAGTGAGGTGCAGAGGTATGTTGGTGGGGGGTGGCAAATGGCAATGCCACCGTGCACAACCGCAGTGATGCCAGGTGTTTTCAGCCAACCCCTTTGGGAAATATGGTCACTCTAGTCCTACTTCCATCCCTCTCCTCTCCCCAATGGTAACTCGTCACACCCAGTAGCCTCTAGACATATCTGTCTGAGGGCTGGTGAACCACAGATTTGATGTTGCCCTCAGCATAGCTCCTAACTGACATTTATAGCTATACCTCAGAAACAACACACTTTGCCACAACTGGCAAATTATTTCATAGGCAGACAAGCACTGGGAAAGCAAGAGGCAAGGTAAGACAGTTCTGTGGTGATATAGCAGCGCTCCTTTGTGGGTGTGGAGGGACTGGGGGGGGATGGGGCCTGCACACCACCTGCTTGCTCTTTGGAAGCCATGAATAATTTGACTCAGTGGTTGGAAAGGGTGGGGTCCTTTTAGGGCATGTCATCATTTTTCCAACTGGACAAGGTCGCATGTTGGGCCTCCCTATGTAGGCTAGAAGAGCAGGGCCACATTGCTTATGAAAGGGACTTGTGCTCCCCCAATCCAGAAGATGTCTGGAGTCTGTTTGGGAGCAAGGTTGATGTTTCACTGGCTCCCCAATTCAGTATATATAAGCCCAATCCCTGCCTCTTATTAGGCAGTAAAATATTTGACAGGGTAGGGGAAGCGCCTGGTGCAACGTATTGCAAATGTTCACTAGTTGGCAGCGGTGTTACTGGTTTAAATCTTGTAGTAGAGGAGCGACCTTTTCTCCAAAACTGTACCTGCCAGCAGATGGTAGTATATTCATAATTGCTTTGACCATAGCAATAAGATAATTATTTTGTCCAGCCAAATAGTGAAACAGTGTCCCTACCCTCAAGGACTCTCAAACTGAAAAGATAAGTTTCAAAGGGTTGGATTTTGTTTGATATAAATATCAAGCACTTATTGCAATGGGAAATTATGAAAGAAGCAAACAATAAATAAACCATTGATCTTCCAAAGTCATTAGCAAGCTACTAGAAACTGAGGATCTGGCCCTCCATTTTGAGGGGTTGGCGGGGGAGGGGAAGAACCAGTGATCTTAAAGCGTTAAAATGGGAACACCACAATATGTTCGGGATAGTGGTGATCTTCAAACATCGCCACAAAATTTAAAAATTTTGGCACGTCTTTTTCTTTTAACCATTGCTAGATCAATGTGCATGTGGCAGACTTGATGACGTTAAATTCCTTCAGCCTCGTTATTTTAAGACGACTTGCAACAGAGGATTCCCTTGGCAGGTATTTATAGAGATCTTTGGAAATACTGTTAGTGTAGAAAAGTCTATAGTAAAGCAGTGTTCTCAGATGCAACACACTTCTTATCTTTGAGTACTTAAAACATTTTTTGAAGATTTAACTAAGCAAGAGGTCAGATAAGTAGAAGCAAAGAGGTGATAGACAGTAGAAGACAGCAAGACCCATTATTACAAACTGTTGTAGTCAACCTCCTTGAAAAATAAGAAAAGTAACTTACTGTATTTAAATGTCACAATTTATAAATTATGCTTGGCAGCATCTCATTCCTTGCACTTACCTTTGCACTATTAGAAAACTTACTAGAGCATCAAGTATCAATATAGCAGGATTCTACCATTTTTTCAATATAATTTGAAAGTCCTATGACTCAGTGCTTATGTAAGGGGAACCCCTTCTGAACTGTCAGTCGCATAATATATGGTATATTATTAGATATTTAGTGCTACCTTCTTCCCTCTTCACTACTACAACCCTATTTGATTTCTTTGCAACTGCAGCTGTTGATAGGCTAAATTAGGGCTACCATACGTCCAGATTTCCCCGGACATGTCTGGCTTTTCGCTCTTTAAATAGCCTTCCGGGGGGAATTTCTAAAAATCTAAAAATGTCCGGGATTTCCCCCCGGTTGGCTATTTAAAGAGCGAAAAGCGGCTGACAGGGCAGCCCGAGCGCCGCTCGCATTGGGGCCTCGGCAGCCAAAGCCCCTTCCCGGCTCCCCCCATCCCCTGCAGTCTTAGCACGCCGCCCGGCAGTGCTGGGGGGCGGGGCTGTGCGCCTGTGCGGTAACGCGGCGGCCAGAGCCCTTCCCCGCTCCTCCACAGCCTCAGCATGCCACTCGGCGGGGCAGGGCGCTCCTTGGGGCGCGGAGCCAGACACCTGCTCTAACCCGAGCGGCAAAGTAGGGGGGCTGGGGAGTTGGAGAAGGGGGGCAGTCGGAGGACAGGGTACGGGGGGGTGGATGGGTCTGTGGTTTGGGGGGGGTTGTCAGGGCAGGAGTGTGGAGAGGGGTTGGGACAGTCAGGGACAGGGAGCAGGGGGAGTTAGATGGGTCAGGAGTTCTGGGGGGCTGTTGGGGGCAGGAGTGTGGAGAGGGGTTGGGACAGTCAGGGACAGGGAGCAGTGGGGGTTAGATGGGTTGGGGGTTCTGGGGTGGCTGTGGGGGTGGGAAGTGGGAGGGAGTGGCTAGGGGGTGGGGCTACACCCCCCCCCCCCCGAATGTCCTCTTTTTTTGAAAGTTCAGATATGGTAACCCTAGGCTAAAATCAGTGGGAGGTTTTCTGGATGCTTAAATAGGAATAAGATCCCCGGGGCTAATAGGGCAGAATGTGGACATTTCATTTGAAAGATAATTAAATTACAAATCTTAGCTGTTTACAATAATTCAGTATTTTGCTCTTATCCCATCATATTACAAAGTCAGGGCCGTCCTTAGGCATACGCAGCATACACGGCTGCGTAGAGCACCTGAAAATTTGGGGCACCACTGGGTCTTAGTGTCCACCCGCCCAGCTCTTCCTAGTCCTGTTCTGACCCTTCCTGCAGGCTCCCACAGCTAGCTGCTGCAGCCTGGTGACTCTGACTCCGGAGGGGATCTAGTAACTTAAAAGTGAGAAGCCTACCCAGACCTATTAGCACAACACTGAAACTGTTAAAGAGACATTCAAGTGGTAATGAAGCCATTTAACAGGCATTTGCCAATCCCCAGCTATATACTGTCAGTTTCTGAATTTACTGACAAAAACAGTTGTGCATTACCGTAATATTTACTCAGAACATGTTAGTCTACAGGACCTTAGTTTAAAATTTGCCTTAAAAATATTTCATTAGTGAGTTGGTGAAGATTACGAAATCACATCTCTAAAAAAAATCCTTGCATAGATTTTTAGATGCATAATCATCTTTAGCCTTAAATGCTTGGATCTTCAGACATAGTTTTTTAAATAAATCCTTCAAAAGACCACCCTTACCTAAAATACACATTTTAATTACTATAGTTAAAAATAACTTGTTTCCAAAGTAAAAAAAACTTGCTTCCAAAATCTTCCTGTCCATCCCTTTCTCCCTTCACCGCCCCCCCCAGAGAGCCCTTAAAGGGACAACACCCTTTTCCTTCCAGATAGCTGGACAAAGAGTTTCCCTTTCTTTACTTCTGATTATCTGACGAACTAGTTTCAAGAGAACCCTCTAGCAAAATCAGTACCTCGTAAGATATAAAATCCTTTCTTAGGCCTAAAATCTTTAGAAACATATTTTTTAAAGTTGGTGAAATTTCATCAACATGTCTATTGTTATGAGATCTCACACAGTAAATTAGTGTTCCCTTTTTCTAAAAGCAATGAACATTGTTATAAACACACCAAACCTCTGTGACTGATGAATTTAAAATAATGTCTTTGTTTCAGTGAGTTAAATATGTAGTAATCTGAAATGATTACTTTATGAAGGCTTAAGAGGACATTTAAAATATAAAATCAGCTTAGAAATACTGATTAAGAAAATGTAAAACAGAGAAGAGCTGCATCATGCATATTCCAGAATATTTAGTGTTGTATTTCGCAAGACAGCTGACTCAACTTACTGCAAAGTTTTTGCAAATAAATCTGACAAACTTCAGGGCATATTAAAAAAAAACAAAACAAAAAACCTGTGACTGACATTTTTTTATTCCCAAGTTTAGTGCTTTTAATTGGGTACCTTCTGCATGTCCAGTAGGGTGACCAGATCACCCAGGTCAAATATCAGGACATGGGGGAGATGTGGCGGGGACAGAGCAAAAAAACAACCCCACCCCTTCCTCCTCCCTCTGCAAGTGCTGGAGGGAGGCCCCGTAGATGCAGGGGGAGCGCGGGGCCGGGGTGAGTGTCAGTCCGGCCTGCCCCGAGCAGGCAGGACTCGGGCGCGGTACCTGGAGGAAGAGTAGGGGGGCGGCAGGCAGCGGCTGTTCTCCCCACCTGGGCAGCGGGACTCGGGAGCAGCCGCTGCTGCAGCTCCCACTGCCGTGGGGGGAGGAAGCAGCCGCTGGCCAAGCTCAGCAGCTGCGGCTCTGGCGCCTGTGAACCCCCCCGAGCCTGCGCCTGTTGCGGAGACCCAGCAGTGCGCACGCTGCGCCCAGCCCTTGGCCAGTCGCATCGGGCTGGCTGCCCAGCTGGTGCAATCCTGCGGGCAGCCCTGGAGTGGGGGCAGCAGGCCCCAGCCCCCCCGTCCCACTTGGGTCCTGCAGGGGAATGAACGGGGCTGGGGCTGCCGATGCCTCCGCCCCGGGGCCACCGTGGGATTGCACCAGCTGAGCAGCCAGCCCAGATGCGACTGGCCAGGGGCTGGGCACAGCATGCGCACTGCTGGGTCCCCGCAACAGGCCCGGGCGCTTCGGGCCCGGGCGCCAGAGCCACAGCCGCCAAGCGCCATGGCTGCTTCCTCCAGTGGGAGCTGCAGCAGCGGCTGCTCCCGAGTCCCACTGCCCAGGGGGGGAGAACAGCCGCCGCCTGGCCCCACGGACCATCCCCCTACTCTCCCTACTGCCCGACTGAGTCCTGCCTGCGCTCGGGGCCAGGCCAGACTCTCACTCACCCCGGCCCTGTGCTCCCCCTGCATCTCCAGGGCCTCCCTCCAGCGCTTGTGGAGGGAGGAGGAATGGCGTGCTTGGGGAGGAGGCCAATGGGGGAAGGAGAGGGTGGAGTGGGGGCGGGGGAGCACGAGCCCTTCCGGGCTCTGGCGCCTTTACTTGTTTCTCCATT